AATTTTGTTTATTTTCATGATGCCAGTCAGGAGGCAATATGACTGATTGCAAGTAATATCGTGGTCGGGAATCAAAACTATTAATTTTTGTTTAGTATTTTTTTTTTACATTAATTTAACCGATATGTACTGCATATCAAGAGTTAAATCTTTCCAACATTTTGGTGCAAAATTTGTTGAAAAATATTAAAATATGAGTTAGGCATTCAAAGGATAATTTGATACTACAAATCTAAACTTAAATCGAGGAATCTCCCTTCACACACAAGTTTGACGTTGATTAATACCTTGACTTCCCCACCACCAGGGCAGTAATCCAGATTCTCCAAAGAACCAATCTTACTTGCGGCTTTCTGCTTAAAACCTAATTTTTCGTTTACTACCTGTGAACAATTTGTAAATAAACAACAAAATAAATAAATACTCAAATGTAAAAATAGAAGATTCTAAACACCACACATCTTATACTTTGAGAATTAGAATTGAGTTACACAGGGAGCTGAGGTGAAACAATTTCCAAGTGTCCATAAGAGATATTACAACAGATTGAATTGAGTCAACCAAAAAGAATAGATTAAAATCACACGCAATTGGCATAATACACAAAGGATAAGATAAACAACCAATAAGAATCACTCTTATTTAAAAAAAAAAACGTCACACGGCGAAGGGAACAAGGTTCTAAAAAGTGTACCTTAATGTTGCCATGCCTAGGCGTGTAATCTATGTTGTCACGGGAACCAACTTTACTTGATGCTTTGTTTCTAAAGTCTAATCTTTTTAATTCTATCTGTGTTTTATAGTTTTAAGATGAGTAAAAATAAAAATAAAAAAAAGTGTTATTATCCAAACTGACTCTTTCAGCACCTGAACTAAAATTAGCGTATTCAGAGTCTTGAATGATAGCAAGTCTTCAGAGTTATTGATAGCAAGTCTTCAGAGTTATTGATAGCAAGTCTTCAGAGTTATTGATAGCAAGTCTTCAGAGTTATTGATAGAAAGTCTTCAGAGTTATTGATAGCAAGTCTTCAGAGTTATTGATAGCAAGTCTTCAGAGTTATTGATAGCAAGTCTTCAGAGTTATTGATAGCAAGTCTTCAGAGTTATTGATAGCAAGTCTTCAGAGTTATTGATAGCAAGTCTTTACAGTTAGTGATAGCAAGTCTTCAGAGTTATTGATAGCAAGTCTTCAGAGTTATTGATAGCAAGTCTTCAGAGTTATTGATAGCAAGTCTTCAGAGTTATTGATAGCAAGTCTTCAGAGTTATTGATAGCAAGTCTTCAGAGTTATTGATAGCAAGTCTTCAGAGTTATTGATAGCAAGTCTTCAGAGTTATTGATAGCAAGTCTTCAGAGTTATTGATAGCAAGTCTTTACAGTTATTGATAGCAAGTCTTCAGAGTTATTGATAGCAAGTCTTCAGAGTTATTGATAGCAAGTCTTCAGAGTTATTGATAGCAAGTCTTCAGAGTTATTGATAGCAAGCCTTCAGAGTTATTGATAGCAAATCACACAAACTTTAATAGAGAAAGACAAATTTGAAGTCTTTTTAAAAGACCCCCCCCCATTGACAAGTTGGTTTTCATTCATAGTAGATATAAATGTAAACCATTTATTTTTTGCTAGAAATGGTAGCTATTATCATACTTTGAGTGTGTTGCCAGGACAACACTTTTATATGTCACTGTGACACCTGTCTTAAAGACACCAGTGAAATCCTCACAGCTACAATACTCTTTTGTTTTGTCAATAGTGCCCTCTACTGTAAAATACTTTATTTTAGCTGGAATTAATTTTCACTGAAAAGACTGTTTGAGTGTTTTGTATGGAATTTATTTTCACTGATTTTTGATGAGTTGAATGTGAAATATAGGAAAAAAAGTATATTCCCTGGATTTCATTTTCACTGAATCATTCCTTCAGTGAAAATTAATTCCAAGCGAAAATAAATTATTTTACGGTATTTGATGCAGTGAAAATCCTGGCAATTGTGGGCGTTCTTTTACAAAGCAAGCTGAGATCAGATATGTTAACAAATAAATATATTGAGTTACAAAGAACAGAATATGAGACTGGCAACCTGAAGAAGAAATTAATAAACACAGACGCACACTATGTACTCGTATTCTCATGTACCTTAACCGTCCCTCCTCCAGGCTGATACGTCAGGTTTTCGAGTGAACCCACCCTGCTGGAGGCTTTTAACTTAAAATTGGATGGAAAGGTTTCAATCTAGATGGATGATTTAATAATAATAATGAGAAAACAAAATGATGATGATGATAAATCAACTATACTTTAAATCACTAAAAGGTGGACCATGATACTCTAGGTGGTGCTTGAATGTGTAATTTAAACCCCCCCCCTCCCAGTTTCTAAATGTCCACCCCTAATGTAACAAAAAAACTCTCAATTACAAAAATAAAAGCATCTATTTGTCAAACCAGAGAGCCTTTATATGTAAGATCTAAAAACAAATATTTTTAATGCACAAACTGTTAATTAAAAATTGATTTTTGTTGGTAACAATTTTTACTGCGTTACTTGAACACTGGTATTGAATGTTTAAAGGGCGGTAGTCGTCGCGCTGCACATGTGCGACATTTGTGTTCATAAACATTGATTTTCCCACAATCCAATGCGCCATTCTAATGGAAGGTTTGACCTGGGCGCGACTTTCACTAATTACCTCCGGTGACTCCTTCGATAACAATCACCTAAAATACCTAGTTAAAACTTGGTAACGTCTCAGTTTGTACTCGTTGATCTGCGCAACAGTCAAAGTCGGTGTCTTTGTTTATATGAGAGCCATATATCTCGCTCATGCGTGGCGAGACGACTATCGCCCTTTAAATGGTCTTATTATTTTTTGGGGCCGAGCTATGTCACAGAACATTCTACGTTGCTAAGACGCGCACCACTGTACCATGCATTTCCATGGGTTCGGTGGGAGCTGCTTTGGAATGACAGTCAAAGAACCTGTGAAAAAGCTTAAGTCAAGAAAACAGCACAAATGTAACCATGAGGTACATGTAATCTTGAACAACCAAATTTATGTAATATGTTTCACATGTAGGGGTAATCTTGTTACACTGTTCAGGAGAGTCACAACAACTATCCCAAAGTACTGTTTGCTCAGAGTTTACTGCCTTTGTTTTCACCCGGTGATGGTTGTCAGGTGATGAAAATTCCGATGTCCACCCCCCAGAAAAGTAGATGGACAAATATTTGTTGACATTCTTTAATTTTATAATGATGATTCATGAAACAAAGTTATTCGATTGTGTGCACTAGTTGTACACTGAATTTATTTCACTGAGATTTCACAATGCTAAGTCCAATAAATGATATTGTTTGATTTTCAAAAAAGTATATGAAAAAAAAATAAAAAATTGGAATTTTGCAGCTTTTAATTTGAAAAAGAATGTAAACAATATACTCCTTGTAAAAATAATAAAAAAATAAATTATTACAATTATTTGTAAGAAAACCTGTAAGAAAAATGTTATGCTCAAATTTTAGACACTTTTTTGTATCAATTAAATAGAAATAAACTTTGTTTTTTGAGACGAATTGTTTTGTATTTTTGTCGTCTTTCACAAATAAAACCCTCATAATTTGTTTTCCCCAATTTTCTCAAGACCTGTATCAAATAGCAAATTGTGTTCGTTTTGGTCCAAAATTATCAAAAATAATATGTCAGATAAATACATAAAATGAGTAAAATTTTAGCAGGAAAGACTCTGGAGCACAAAGAGTAATTTGTATAATACCGTTTTTGAAAAATGGTCGGGTTTTTAAAATACAAAATAACGATAAATTTTTGACCAGTCGAATTTTTTAGAGTGAAAAATGAACAAATATAAAAGTTGGATTATATACAGGTGCAGAAATAGTTATAGAAAGTCATGTCTTTAAACAAATTGTTTGAGTAAAAATAAGTGATCAATTTCTGGTGAGGTCAACATTTTTGAGGTCAATAAATTACAAAAATTTGCCAAATAATTATTTAGGTGGTTGAATTTTTAGAGTGGGAGAAATTTGAGAGTTTTTACGGTAATCTGTGCTACATTAGTCTTTGTTTTACCGAATAAATACATATTGGCTTAAATCACGGTTACTAGTAACCATGGTTACATGCTTTGCTTGTGCCTTTTTTTTAGTACCGAGATTTACTATTACATGGATTAAAAAATTGTCAAAAAAGGCAGCTTTCCTCGGTTAAAAATAAGCACTACAGGGTGATAATAATATGCAATGATATTTACCTTGACTTTGCCACCACCTGCTTTATGTTGTAAATTGTCCTTCGAACCAACCCGACTTTGTACTTTAATATCCAATTTCTCATTCACTATTTTGACATTTCCACCCCCTGAAAACAGAATTTTTAGCATATATTTTAATTTTAGCATATGTTATAATTAGTATGTAATTTATTAAAGTGCAAAATATTCGTTGGTGTGAGACATAGTTTGTTTCTACCCTCTAAGCCTCATTCTGAAAACAAGTTCACGTGTCAAGTTCAAAGTTCATGTCTTGTCTTCAGTCATTGTTATATACAAAGTATTTAATATGATACCTGCTTTGTGCGTAGCATTCGCCATTGAACCACATCTAGCGGAGACCTTAGAATAATCTTTTTTTTCCTCAAAAATTTTCACCTGAAACAAAAGAAATGAAAATGTTTTATTTATTTTATTCTAAAAAATGTGGTATTAAATTTGTGGATGGATTAAGTTTGTTTGTCTGTGACTAAATGTTTTTCACAAAGAAACTTTTTGAATGTATTGTTAAACTGAAATCTACGCAATGAGCCTGCAGGTGAACGTTGAATGAAATATTCTGGCAATGTTTGCTGTACTCCTAATACATTTCATTTATACAATTTAGTAACCTTTTCACCACCAGACTTCCTTGCCAACATTTTTCTGCACTTTTTTCTTATATATTTCTGGAAATGAACCTTAATTTTGGAGCCAACATACAAAATTTGAGTCAATTTTCAGTTTTTACTCAAAAAATTTGGCTATTTTTGTCCCAATCTTCTGAAGGAAACTGCAGACTATAAACGGGACTATTTTGTAAAATTGTGATGAAAAGAGAGAACTGGTGGTAAAAAGGTAAAGTGGTTGTTGTCTGGAAAATAGTCCGTACATTTTTTAAACACGTATAGTTTTAAATCTCTTTAAATCGCTGTATAACATATTACAAATTGAAACATATATTGAAATAGATTAATTCAGTTTTTTGAGATTATTTACTAGGTTTTCAAATTCACATATTTTACAGCAATGTCTGCTATATTGTAATTGTCCCTATCGTTATGGATTTAATTAAGCAGATTTTACTCAAAACTCAGTGAATAATTATTTTTTTCAGTAATACTCAATACGTAAGCAATGAGTATGAGTCGAACTTTTTTTATTGATTTCAACAAAAGTTAATTACTATAGAGGGGAACTATTACCTGGGGGAAATTTTCGCAGAGATATTCACTAGGTTTTAAATTCACTGGTATGTGAAGAAAAAGCTGTGAAATACTTCATTCTAGCTGGTATTAATTTTTGCTGAAAAGAGTTTTGGAGTGTTTTGTATGGAATTTATTTTCACTGATTTTTGACGAGTTGAATGTAAAATATAAGAAAAAAGGTATATTTGCTGGATTTTATTTTCACTGAATCATTCCTTCAGCAAAAATTATTTCCAAGCGAAAATAAAGTATTCACTGGGTTTTAATTTAGTGCACATTTAGCGTACAGCAGAAATAAAATGCAGTGAATAATGCAGCCCTATATAGTATACTTCAGTCAGTTCTGATATAAGATTAGTACACAAATCAAATTCTAAAAATAAACTAAGAACCTACAAACTTTTTAAAACCAAAATAGAACAAGAAAACTACTTAACAATTATGAAAAACAGTGAACTTCGCAAATCCTTAACAAAATTTAGACTTGGCAACCACTGTCTGAAAATTGAAACAGGCCGGCATACAGGATTGGATTTTAAAGACAGAGTCTGCAATATGTGCGACAATGACCATGTTGAAGATGAACAACATTTTGTCACAAATTGTCCTCATTACAATGAAATAAGATTAAAACTTTACATTGTAGCTAATAAATGTATACCAAATTTTGACAAATTTAGTAATGAAAATACATTCATATCATTACTAAGTGACGAGAAAATGTCTATTCCTTTAGCGCAATATTTAAAAAAAACTGTTTTAATACAAGACAGCAGCACCTACATAAACTAAGCCAGTAATACATTCCTTGTATTCAAATTATTATCTTTTTTTTTTATGCCTTTTTGTTCCCTTACTCTTTATGTGGTTATTTTTCTTTTACTAATATCTGATTTGTAACCCTTTTCATCCCCTCCGGGGGATGTTGTGTGTTAATAAATAAATAAATAAATAAAACACATACCTTACCACCACCAGGTGTGTGTTTTAAATAATCTGTTGATCCAATCTTAGACTTGACGTTTTTGATATCTGGGGTCTTTGCTGATCTATCAAATCCTAAACTGTTCCTCTTCTCCGAACCTTCTGAAGAAGCTGGAAAACAAAATGACCAAATATTAAGTAAACCGACAACGTAGTGACTTTAAATTGTATCCTCCTGGAAACCACGCTGACTCCAAAATTCATTGAGTACACATAACCAGACGTAACCATGGCAATAATAATCCATCAACAATAGACAGCAGAATTTCCTGAATTCACTAAAAGTTTTTGCATCAGAATGAGAAGTATACTTATAGCCTAGCAACCAATATGCATCACGGTTACCACGCACTCACCATAATTTTTTGACCTGGGCATACTCTGGACATGTTCAGGCGGTTGTCACCACTCGCTGCCTGTAAACATATCTCAGCGTTACCTGACTCAGATTAGCTATGTTCACAATGGATTACCTGTTTTGTTCTCAGGTTTTTTATTTCAGGTTTGCACGTGTAAAAAGGTTGTTTGATCAATACTCTCATTTGCATATCAGAGAAGGTAACCTACTCACTGTATCTGTTTACTCTGGGTTTGCTAGAATACTTATTTAAAAGTATCAATTTTGACTTTTCAAGACAACAATCTGCTATTTTTATTCTCAATTCAGGCATGACGTTCTACACTTGCTTGCAGCTTTTATCTTGTTTTAGAGTCTCTTTCACTTAAAAGTTGCTTTCTATAGAGATTAATTTTAAAGTTCTATTATGAAGCACAACCGCACATGTTGAGAAGTCACTGAAAAAAAATACTATCGGTAGTACAATGTATACTTCTTGACTTTTCAGATTTACAATAAAATCCGTCTACTTTAAAAAACTTTATTTTAGCTGGAATTAATTTTCACTGAAAAGACTTTTTGGGTGTTTTGTATGGAATTTATTTTCACTGATTTTTGACAAGTTAAATGTAAAATATAGGGAAAAAACGGAACCGGTATATTCGCTGGATTTTATTTTCACTGAATCATTCCTTCAGCGAAATTGGAGAAAATAAATTCCAAGCAAAAATAAAGTATTTTACAGTATTAGAACAGGAATCAGTGTCATTGTGTTTCCAGAGTGAGATGTTAATTCCAAGCAAAAATGCTAAAATCCTGCATTTATTCACCCAAGTAATGTTCTTCATTGAAACTAATAAATTTCACTTGATAATGGTTACTTTGAACACGAAGACTAAATACAAAATTAAATTCAAATACATAAAAAAAAAAAAACTAATTCAAGCTCACGAAAATAGCTCAAATTAGTTCGAAAATAGTTAAAGAGTAGAACACCTCTATAAAAAATGAAATCCTGCCGCGGAGAGAAAACCAAATACAGTAATGGTGGCTTACATGTGTTAGTATTGATTTATCATACTGGACAGTTGTTTTGAACGTGAGATAATTCTATGAGTTGGCGGGGATGATTCCCGAAACCACGGTTACACGGTCATATCCAACTTTGAAGTTTTGAACTAATTTTTGAATCTACAGTAAACTGTCGTTAATAATAGGATTTTAATTGTTCTCTGCATAAATTGATATTTTTGTTCTTGTTTGGATCATCAATATTATGATCTATGCATAATGGTAATTATATGTGGACTGATATTGTTGTGGACCACACAATTGGAAATATATGAGTCATACAAGTCTTTAGGCAAAAAGTAAATGACCATCTGAGCCGCTGTTGAATGTCATACAATTCACTAAAAATGAAAGCATTTACAACTATCGCTAACTCTCTGTTACTGAACAATAATTTATCTGTTGTCACATTTGTCAATAAGTAGATTATTGAAATACTGATATTTTTAGGAAAGAATAAATCGTAAACTTTCCACATATATTTTAAAATTTTGTTGCTCATCTCTGCTTGTTTTCACAATATTTTCTAAATAAGTAACTTAGATATTTCAAAATATAATATCTGCCACATGCGCATCATATCTGCCATTATTATACATCTGTCACCATAACGCCATAAGTTAAAGTGTCCCGTAATTTTGCGGTATTGCACTGGGTATTTGCATCCTACCATATTAGGAAATGTGCATAAGTGTCCACTAATAATAAAAACAAACATGGTCCCCAGGGTTTGACCGAACCCAACACAAAGAAGTTCGTTAAATCTGTTCCATACATATTGGATTTCGGCATTCACATGATGTATCCCTTGGACAAAAAGATGTATAAAAATAAGGTTATTACGAAGATACCTCAATATATGCACTCAGATAGTACGCTGTTGGATCGACCTCCGCTGCGTGTTGGTCGATACTCCAGCTGTACTGTCTTCATGCATACCTTGTGGTATTCTCATAATAATCTCATATTATAAACACCGGTACATGTGTCTTTCACTGTAATAATTGAAACAGTCATATTTGATAAAAAAAATGAAAAACCAATCATCATGTTACCATTTTTCCAGTTTAAGACCAAGTGAAGGAAAAACCAATTTGCATAGTAGTTTTACTTCACTTTCCCCAGAGTTTCCAATAGTCACCCCTATCACATAATAATAATTATAATTATAATTACTTGACTCCTTCCTTTGTGTTGCACTGGCTGCTCTTCTAGGAGACGAACTGCCAGCATTGATGGGTTTTCTTGTCTGTGCACTCATAGCTCGTTTTGGTGATGCCACGGCACTTGTCAGAGTCACACTGGCTGGCCTTCTTGGACTGCTAGTTTGTCTTGGTGTTGATTGTTTTGAGGTAGTGTTCTCTCGCGGTGTTGCACTGACCGGACGGCGTGGAGTTGATGCTGCACTTGTCGGTCTTGATCCACTGCCTGTATCCGTTCGAGGTTTGACATTTGTGATTTTGACTTTTTGATCAAATATTTTAATGTTCCCACCACCTGGTTTATGTCCTTCTTTCTTGGCTTCAATTCTACTTGTCACTTTTTTAACATCAATCTATGAAAAAAAGATAAAAAATATAAAATACTAAACTATAATATATAATTTCTTTGCCAAACTGTTGATACATAGCATTTTTTGATGTAAAAGTTAATGAAACATCTCTGCATCAAACATATTAAAAACATGCTTTGTGAGGTAGGCTCCAAAGAAAACATAATTATCAGTCAATTTGTCTTCCAAAATCAATACAGGTGCTCATTTTATTATTTTTTGAAATATAATTGACTTAAAAATTGTGCTTTTATTAAAATTAAATAGAATTATTAAAAATTGTGCTTTATTAAAATTAAATAGGATTATTAAAAATTGTGCTTCATTAAAATTAAATAGGATTATTAAAAATTTTGCTTCATTAAAATTAAATAGGATTATTAAAAATTGTGCTTCATTAAAATTATAAGTTATGCACACAATAATATAAAAACTTAGTTATAGCGCCCTCTATCACAATCAGTGGAAATTGATAAAAGTTCTTTTTACAGCCTATTAAGATATCGGCTTTTCACTTCAAAATTTTGTTTTATTGATATTTTCAAATATTTTAGGTCTATTTATATTTTAATTTAATATAATTTTAAGAAGCTTTGAATCAAATTGAAAATTGTCTCATTTTCTTTTTACCAATGCATTGTATTGTATCTCTTTTTTTTCATTGGTTTATTATGATAAAAGTTGGTGACTTGGAAAAGTTGTACATTCGGATAAGAATCCTATTGTTAAAAAGATTTCCAAATTTCACATTTAATTCAGTGAAATTCCACTGTCATTATGTTTTTTTTACCAAAACGTCAGAAACATTGAATTTAAACCCTGAAAATATATATTGCATGATTATTTATATAAACGCCAATACAATGGTGATTTCCACAAAACCATTATATGAAGTTGATTTAAATGATAATGTCCTTACATTTCAACATTTGCAATTTTATATGAATTCGCTAACAACTTACGTGAATATTATGTTTTCACTTCCAAAGTTAATTGTAATTTTATACAATAAAAATGTGTTTCACGGTGATAAAGGCAGATGGGGAAGTATTAACGATGTGTACAGTTGTACTCATTATGTAAAGCCTGGGTCCATTATCACATTAACAAAGGTAAAGACAGTGAAATTAGTCCTGTATCTACCACATTGAAATTAACCCTGTATCTACCACATTGAAATTAACCCTGTATCTACCACTTCATTAATGAGTAACTCACACTGTAGATAGTTGTCATCGGTATGCACAGCAATTCCTAATACAAATTTTGCTATTCCATAATTTTCCTGAATGCCTTCAATGCTACATTATTTTGAGAGTATTCCTAATACTTGAAATTTGAACTCTCACAATATTAATGTAGAAACCAAAAATGAACATTTAACTGGGGTCCTAGGGAGTTGTACTGAAATATTTCGCTGGGTTCTAGGGAGTTACATCTGGGGTAATTATGACATGAAGTCTCAGTTACTTTTGCAAAATTTGTTCCAGTGAACACTCATAAAGAATCCTGAAGTAAAAATTGATAGCAGTGAAAATATAACTACATTTTAAGTCAGTTTAATTAATAAATATTTGTTTTCAGTAATGCAAGATGTCGTTAATTCAACAATTCATCACATCATTTTTGATTTACCAAAATTCCCAGATAAAATATGAAACAATTAGGATGTCAATATCAAATGGAACACAAATGACAAATCCAAAGTGAACACACTTAACAGAATTACTTGCTGCCCATAGTTCTTCACACAGCTCTTTTAAAGTTGCCATCAATACCATGCACTTTATTATCCAAATTATCCATTACTACCGTTGAGTAATTGCATTTGAGAAAATGTTACAGACTTAAGGGAGATATATTAGCATAGAAAGTGTACTACAAGAGCTGTATTGTACACAGCCATTGTCATTTTACCTTATATGACATGATGAAATTGACGATGTGAATTTTGACGTGAGATATACTGTCTAATCACCGTTCCATTTTTTCTCATTTAGTAATAAATATGGCAACATTAGATATCCAAATATTTTTTTTTTCATATTTAAAATAATAAATGTATTAACAACAAATTATATTCAACATTATTTTTATTGGTTTTGAATTTAGAAATTTGAAAAAAACAAAAACAGAATGTTTGCAAAAAAATTAGACTCAATGTTCATGTTATTTTTTAGTTTAGTTTATCTATCATTTGTTGTTTTTGAATACAAGTCCCAATAGAATTGATAATATTCTGACAGCTGCTGGTCCAATAGATAGCTTTCTTTCATATTTTGTGTTATCATTGTGTGTATCATCTACTCAAAACACAAAGAATTATTGAAAATGATGAATGGCCAATTTCAGTTGTATTTGGGTGTCAGCGCCCTCTGTGGTCATTAATTACAATATATTCTTCACAAACAATTATAAACATGGGTGGGGGTCAAATTCTGAAGTTAACATTGCTGTATAATCTTTTTTTTTATTTTTAAATTCATAGTAATTCATGAGAACAAATTCTCTGTTTTTTATTTATGCTTATCTCCTAAAAAAAAATTTAGCGTAACCAGCAAAATAAAAAAAAAAAGATTTGTTTTTTTTCGGCCTTTTATTACATTATGTATGTTTTTTTTTTTTTTTACATATCCATATTGTTATAATTTAGTAAATTTCACTAATTACTGAAAGTAATATATAGTAACTACTTTGTTAACAATAAACAGACATCTGAACTCTTCAAACTTAAGGGATGGGTCTCACGTGGAGAGGGGGCATTGACATCATGCATGCAAACATTTGTTTGACAAATAACAATCAATACCAGGTACATCAATTGAATACAAATCAAATTTAAAATATCTACCTACAGTGGGAAACCAAAATCATGACCACATACCCTATAATAATTTCATTGGTACATCCCTAACTATAATTAAAGATATAAACCTACTGTGTTGATGAAACAGAATATAGAAATGATTGATTGATCCGGTTTAATGCAATTATAGATGTTTTCAGCCACAGTGTTGTTTACCTGTCACTTAACTGCAGAGGGACAGTTTAATTACCTTCCTAGTTTTATAAATGATGCTTAGTACGCTCCCTGACCTCTGTAGTGACACTGAGCAGATACCATATATTAAAGAACCACAGGCATCTCACAGTGTACATTCAAATTTTGTGTAAACTTAAATAAGTTTTTTTTCCATGCAACATGAATGTCATTGGACACGATGTCAAACCTGATGTGACTGATGATTTAAATTAATTTGTATTTCAAAGTAAAAAATAAGGTAGATATTTAGTAAAATATTGATAGTGGCAACCAACAAACAGTGGTTATTAATACCTTACCAATAGATGCCCAGTATGACTTCAAGGTTGTAAATAAAATTAAAAGTTTTAAAATAAATAAATCATTTGAAATCAAATTTTTATATTTGATTCATCATATTTACTTCATGGGTAATACATTAGTATATTTGGTCTCCTGCATTTGGCCTGATAGTTAAAACTTGATATTTTCCTTTTCCTGTCCACAGGGACAGCCAGTTTCTATATTTACCTGTCTCAGGTAAAATCTATCTGTCTGGCATAGGTGTACAAGCCTTATTTCAACTCCTGGACTGTGTTTGGTGACTTTCAAATAATTATTAGGTTTGTTCATTTCATGATGTTTCATTCAATTCTCTAATTTTGGTGAATACTTTTGTCATTTTTGGTAAAAAGTGATATTTTCGACTTCTTGTTAAAAACCACAAGTCCAATTTCTTTGATATTACATATATAGGTACTAGCTGTGGATCTCTCTCAGATTTGTTCATTTTGTAATGATATCTTTAATTCTCTAATTTGGTGAATATTTTTGTCATTTTTGGTAAAATGTGATATTTTCGACTTCTTGTTAAAAACCGCATGTTCAATTGCTTTGATAATACATATCTAGGTACTACATATGGACCTCTTTAAGATTTGTTCATTTTGTAATGATATCTTTAATTCTCTAATTTTGATGATTATTTTTGTCATTTTTGGTGAGAAGTTATATTTTTGAATTCTTGTTGAAAACCGCAAGTCTGATTGCTTTGATACTATACATATTGTTCATTTTCTAATGATATCTTCTGTTCTTTAATTGAAATGTGCATTGCTAACAGCGGGGCTATCTCAGCCGACAGGCTGCTTGTTAGAGGTTTGAGTGCCTTCTGAAGTTCAAGCCCTACCAGTATCATTTACACGTTGTACCACAAACAATAAAACAACTCTGTGTGGCTAAAAATTCTGATACACAAATATGGCAGCTGTAATTGACTGATAGTTGTCTTATTTGTTATCCTATTTGAATTGATCAGATCAAATTATTGTATGCTATTTGCCCAAAGAGAAGTATTAGGAATGGATCCTCAGAAAAAAACAAAAATATCTCTCAATGATCCCCACCCATATATCTACAAACAAACCTAAGGCCAAAAAAACACATCTTTGTTAAATTTTGCCCTAGGAGAAATTGAAAAACTTTGTATTAAGATAATTAAATACAACAACATTTGTTCAATGTTAACCATTTATTAAATTCTTAAGTACCATCATTATTCTCGCCAAAATTTCAGTGCACCGTTTTGCCTATACTACTTTCCTAAGTACTAAGTACTTTCCTTTAATTATTTAAATAATTTTGGTCTAGATCTAAATTTTGGAGAAAATATGTGAAAATTGTATCATTTTACTTTGTAAATGGTGATGACAGTTGACTTTGGCGATTGAGGACTGAAATAATGATTCTGACTGAATGCATTGAAGGATTATTTGAGTTGACAAAATATCTTGTGACCAGAAACAACCTTAACATTCCATCATCCTACAGTGTGTGCAACGATACACAAAATTACAAATAAAAGGTGCAGATTTGAAACTGACATTTCGATGATAGCGATGATGACAACATCTTGGCCTAATGATTATCTTTGGTGCATGTTTACGAATAGCACTCCTAGTTCAAATGAAGACATTGGGGTTCAATGACCTATATATGTCCCCAGATATTACCATATAACTAAAGAATTGTGGCTATTTATGGATGCCATAAACACCTACTTGTGCTGTATTTATGACATCCATAAGCCACATTGATGTCTCCTAAGTTTAAAGCTTTCTTGTAATCTAATAAGATGGACAGTAGCAGTTACTGTGTTCAATAATACTTGCAACTTTCCCATACAATAAAAATAATAAAAAGACAAACTGTTGTGAACTTATTTTCTATAATAGAGGTGTTTTCACATTCACAGGCAATCTTACTGTGGTTTCAAATTTCATGGTCTAGAATTTACTATTATGTGGCATATGTATTGAAGGGTTGACTATTATGAATTATGGGAGTGATCCTAAAGAAAATGTTTTTTGCTTCCCTCTACTAAATGTTTTTTTTTTTTTCTGTAAATATTTTTTTTTTCTTCCCATGGTCATCACCACAGCAAAAAATAATCAGCCAGATATTTTGGCCAATTTCGAGATTTAGTTTGCCCGTAATGTGCCATTTAGCAGCTTACTTAATTTTTAAAGTTCTGGTTGTATTTCTGCAGTCTTTTGTAACAAATGCAGTTTTGATTCCAGTGGCTTAATTGTTAAAAAGTTTAGCATAAACAGAATTTACCTTTTCTGATTTGATCTTGACATTTCCGCCACCGGGTTTATAGTCTTCTCGCTTTGCGTCGATTCGTGGTGTGCTTGTCTTTTTTGGTGATTTAGTTGATGGAGATGAGGGTGGAGGTGTCTTTCCTGATGGTGTCTTCGATCTCACAGTGGTTGATTTTGTTGTTGTTGTTGCACTGACTGCTACTGCAACAGGTGGTGTTGCCGCTGTATCTGTTGGCATAGGCTGGGTTTCTTGAGCTGCTTTTTCATCAATTTTCTGGTTTTCAGGCTCTTTGGATTCCTGGATTTCAGGTTCTTTGGATTCCTGGATTTCAGGCTCTTTGGATTCCTGGTTTTCAGGCTTTTTGGATTCCTGGATTTCAGGCTCTTTGGATTCCTGGTTTTCAGGCTTTTTGGATTCCTGGATTTCAGGCTCTTTGGATTCCTGGATTTCAGGCTCTTTGGAATCCGGGATTTCAGGCTCTTTTGATTCTGGGATTTCAGGCTCTTTGGATTCTGGGATTTCAGTCGCTTTTGATTCTTGGATCTCGTTACCTAAAAAATAGAAAATTGACTTATAATTATTAATTGGTCTACTTTGTTATTATTGGCTAATATTTTATCTATTGATATTTGTTATTGGCCAAAATATTTACACATATAATTTTCATTCTTTTTTGGATATGAAAAAAATACACATTAAAAAAATGTGGCAGATATTATGTTTTCAGGGATGGTAAAATGTATGAAAAAAAAAAGATAAAATGTTCAACACCATCAGAATGTAGGTCAATATTTAACCCTTTGAAACACCAATGGTTAACTGTCAAAGCACCATTTGTTTTAAAGGGCAATAGTCGTTGCGCCACGTATGCGCAAGATATATGAGTCTCATATAAACAAAGATGGCAACTTTGACTGTTGCGCAGATCAACGAGTACAAACTGAGATGTTACCAAGCTTTAATTAGGTATTTTTTAGTGATTAAAAGGTATCGAATGAGGCACCGATGATAATCAGTGCAAGTCACACCCAGGTCAAACCTCATACTTGTGATTTCCATCAGAAGAGCGCATTGGATTGTGGGAAAATCAATGTTTATTATCACAAATGTCGCACATGTGCAGTGCGACGACTGCTGCCCTTTAAGCATCTCAGAACAAGTAACAAATCTCTTTTTTCTAGCTTAGCCAAATGTTCAAAAACTTTTTTTGAATAAAATATAGCTTTTAATAATTCTGTAAACAGATGCAAATTAAATTTAGGTTGGCAATTATAACACTTTAAAATCAAGAATCAACCTTTTACAGAATGGAATGTGGTATGTCTACATCTATCTCTGTCTCTCTAAATGAGAGCAGCATAAACATTTTAGATTTGTTGGGTTTGCTGCAAATAGCAAGGTCAAGGTTATATAACTTGAGGCTCAATACCAACCTTAGTGAACTCTCCTGTGAACACTACAACCATTGAAAACAGATTCTGTTAAAGTTTCCGCTATACAATTAGTTTTCAAAGTGTGCTTTGTCCAAAGTTTTCTCATTAAAATAACCTTGTGAAATTGACAGTCTTGTAATGACTTTGTGTTATCAGACTTACATGCACATTGATTGGCTCCTGACTAAAGCTTGTTTATGTTTATGTTTATGTTTATGTTTATTATTTATGAGTATGTGATGTAGAATAATAACTCCTGCTGGTCTGTGATATTAAGAGATTATAAGACTATCAACACACTACCAGTATATGTTAGGGGTGCACCATTTAAAATTGAGGGGGCAGGGTTTGCACTTATGATGCTTTAGTGTAATTTTTGTAACTGATTAGTTAAGTCTTCTGATCTTACCATGTTTGTTATTATATGACATGTGCTCATTAAGTTTTCATATACTCTGGTCAATACTGTAAACTGTAAGTGTACTGTAAAAGATTTTAAATGACATTTTTTATTTTCATTTAATTTCTCTATTTTGATATTTGACCATTTTCGATGTGTTTTTGACTTTTTTTCAAAACAATGACAAAATTCCATTGTACTTTTCCATGGTTTAAAAACATAGTGAATTAAGAGTGAAAATAGCAAAATTAAACCCCACTAAATAATTAATGCTTTACATTGCTACTTTTTACTCATACTAGTGGAGTTCATGTTACAGATCTTGGCACATGCAGAGACTTTGTTTCTATTAGAGAGTACGTACATGCCCAGATTTTTTGCCTGAAGCTTGACACGTACCGA